TTTGTTAACGACAGCTTCAACTTCATAAGGTTTAAAAAAAGAACAATAAAATAAGAACTCGCAAACTATTTTTCAACAGTCTCAAAAAAAAAAAAAAAAAAAACTCAAGCGTTTGCACCTTTGGCAGCAAAAGATGGTTTATCATTAAGCACATTTTGTAATTCTATTGATAAAAGGGTTGGGTTAATTACAAAAAACGTCAAAATCACTATCAGTAATACTATCAGAAAAATGGTGTCAGACTACTAAGAACAGCTTTAAAAACATTTTAGAGTTAATGTCGACAGAAAAAACAGCAAAGGATTAGACTTATTTGAATGACGAGAAACAGAAGAGTGAATTTTAGTAGATGGCACGAGAGACGTTTGCTCTTTAGAGCAGCGCCTATTATATTATTTATAAAAATAATAGAGAAAGAGAAGTAACATTACTACGATAAACTACGAGATAAAGAATAGAATCCGAATTGAAAAAGTAGTGAGCACGATAAAGAGATGCTACTTTAGCAGATGCTAACTTTGCATTTGATATATGGTTTCCAAGTAAGATCGAAAGTAAGAGTTAATCTTAGAAGACGAAGGGTAGATGACTCATTAAGTACAAAATAATTTACTCGATCTCTATTTATATATAGTGATCTCCTAGAGTATTATTTGATATGATGATCTCCCAGAAATTTTCACATCTAAGGTGCCATTGTTCCCTGATAATACTACCATTTATTCTTATTTAAAGTGTATGAAATATTGGCATTACGCAAATTCAAATGATTTAGGTTATTACTCTCGTTAAAAATTTCTACTTTTAACGAGAGTTAAAAGTAAAAACTTTTAACGAGAGTTAAAAACACATAAAATAAAATTTTTTAAAATACTATTCATACACGATGAACAGATTCACTGTAGTTTAGATGTGGAAAGTTGTTATACGCAAGCGTAGTGTCAAATACAAACATTATAATTTTAAAGATGATGACAGCCTCTAGATAAGAACTTTTCTGAGTAGCAACAAAATGTTTAAAGTTTTACTTAGTAGTTATTGTTTGCATATTTTTGATAGAATGAAATAATTAAATAGATAATTGAATCGTTGATTCAAAAATGATAAAAACAAGATAAAGATGTTTTTTGTATATAAAAAAAACTGGTGCTCTCTGCTACATTTATTTAACTGTTAAAAGTAGCGATTCCGCAGCGCTACAAAAAACATTTGATGTTTGACCAAAAACACCGAATTTTCCTAAACTTTACTCTCATATCTTTTTGCACGGTTAAGCAAGCACCTTGAGATTTTTTGAATTAGTTAATGTTACTCAACCTCTTTTTAGCCATATATAGAAAATACTATGCTTCATGTGGCTTCACCTAAATATTATTAATATTTTGAGGCTACTTTTGCTAAAAAAAGTTGTCGTTGACACGTTTTTTAAAAAGTAGCTTTTGAAGATAAGATTTCTTAAACACTAAAACACATCCCAAATGCATGAAAATTTCCATCTAGATTAAAAAAAGGATCATGAATCAAGTGGAAAGAGTAACTTTTTTCAAAGAGCATGACACAATAAGACATCCTCTCCGGCCCACCTGTTGCCAAGCGAGATCCCAAAACTTTTAAATAGTTTCTTAATGATTGAGAGACACTTATTATTAATAAAAAAAGATATATTGAAATCTCTGTTGGCAACATTCCTAAAAAACAATCTGAAAGCCACCTCCCTTTATTATCATAACTTATGCATTTTCGTCAACGTATGCATAGATTAAAGAGTAAAAACAAACAAAAACAAGCAAAATGACGTTACTTGGTCAAATTAAAGAACTGAATTAAAGTTTCTTTTTTTTTTGGACACTGTATGTTTTACGCCGAAAAACGTTATTGCTACTCTTTTGACAATAGCAGTAAGTTCCATTTGCTATTGATATCAATTGATCATTACTTGTTTGAAAAATCTCTTTAGCAATAAGGTTATTATTTATTTTTTAATAATCTGTTTCTTTGGATGTGGTTCACGCTTAGATTATTTGGAACAAAATCAATGGTAAGCAACTTTTTGACTTGTTGAAGTAACCGACTTATATCAAATACAGGATCCAAATTAAAAAAAACATTGGTAAATGATTTAACCCAGCTTTGAGCCAGAATAATTATATTGCCAAAGCCTGGGTTTTAGTGCACTAGATTGAATTTCTCATTGAATCAAGTGATTCGCTTATTTCAATAAATTATTCCCTTGTAAATCCAGTTATTAATGACATTTATACTTGAGCAAAGATATTTTTATCCATGAAATGCTAAAAAAGCGAATTTTGAAGTACAGAATTACGCATTGTTTTGAAAAGATTTCTAACCTCTCCGTTTTTGATTTTTGTATTAGCTTTACCAATTGATAACACCACCATACTTTGCTTGATTAATAGAGTTGACGATTGACAAAGATGAATGCTGCAATACCTAGAACCAGGTGGAATCAATATAGTTTTCCTACATAGACGTCAAAAATCGCTTCGTTAGAAATTTTTTTCAACTTTTTGTATAAGTTTTTCTTTCCACAAACAAGACAGCTTTTGTGAGATAAAAGAGTGCGAAAAAAATTTACAAATATTGATTCATCATCAGGATTGCATTTTTTGTCAGTTGTTTCTTTAGTGAATTTGAAACTATAGAATAATCTTTGTTGTCACTTTCAGCTGAAAATACTGATAAACTGCTCGTTCGAAATGAAAATGCGTTATCGGGAATCCCGGATGAATTGAAATATCGTTTACAGATTCTTCATTATAATTTTTTTTTTTAATTTCGTTGTGAAGCGTTTTGGCACTTTTTACAGATTTTATCATTTTTCTTAATCAAATCCAATTCTTTCATTCGGATTTCATTTAAACTTTAATATTTTCTTCAGAACTTCACTAAATTGTTTTAGTTCTAAACGAACATTGCAAGCACAGTACAAATATCGAGCATATTTTTTTGCCATTCGACGTTTACCAATCAAAAAACTAATTAAACATAAAATATCTTTATTTTAAACTATTTAAAGGTTCCAACTTACGCGAAAGCACATAATCATGTTTCAAAAAAGGAACAAACACAGTTCGTCGCGTTTAACTGAAATTTTTTATATTTGGAGAATTTAAAATTAACTTTTTTTAATTTTGATTTATATTATTGCTTTTTTATTTGTTTGTGTATTCTTTTTTTGGTTAATATATAAAAATACATAAATAAATAAAAAAAAAATAATTGTCCAAACAACTCATTTGAGACTTACTTAACTAATAACAATGACGAATTAGCATTTAGCGAACTAAAAATTGAAGAACTTGAAGTTGCGATAAAATCTCTTAAAATAAATAAATCTCCAGGTATAGATGATATTTGTAGCAATATCGTTATCGATGTCTTTTTGGAGATACGCAAACCGATCTTCGAAATATTTAAATCATCAATTAAAACAGGTACTTTACCAGATAAATTGAAAACAGCTAAAATTATACCAATTTTTAAAACAGGCGAAACATCTTTATTAAATAATTACAGACCGATCTCTATACTGCCTACTTTCTCTAAAATACTTAAAAGAATAGTTTACAATAGATTATACGAATATCTCCTTCAAAATAACCTCTTAAACAAAAAACAATTCGGGTTTCAAACAAAACACTCCACCGAACATGCCATTTTAGATCTTGTAAATAGCATGAGTAAATCTTTCGATAAAAAGCAATTTGTATCAGGGACTTTTATAGATTTATCCAAAGCGTTCGACACAGTTTATCACAATATCTTACTTAAAAAAAAAGAAAGATATGGTGTTAAAAATATATCTCTTGACTGGTTCAAAAGTTACCTGTGTAGCAGAAAACAATGCGTTGTTACAGATCATAATAAATATTCAGACCTACTAGAAATAAAATGCGGAGTTCCCCAAGATTCCATTCTGGGTCCCCTTTTATTTCTAATATATATCAACGATCTTCCAAAAGCCCTAAAAAAACTTGATGTAATAATGTTCGCTGATGATACAAATTTATTTTACTCATCGCCGTCTATAAGCAACCTTTACGAATCTATGAACACTGACCTCAAAAACCTCAACATCTGGTTTAAAGTAAATAAATTATCTTTGAATACAGAAAAAACAAAATATATCTTGTTTCACTCCAACCGTCTTAAAAACTTTATACCAGGCACTCTACCTTCACTAAAAATTGATAACATAAACATCAAAAGAACTGAAATAACTAAGTTTCTTGGAATAATTATTGACCAGAATAATAATTGGAAAGCCCATATTAATACAATAAACACAAAAATATCAAAAAGTATCGGCGTACTCTACAAAGCCAAACCTATGCTTTCCCAAGACAACTTAAAAATTCTCTTCTTTTCTTATATTCAAAGTTACCTAACATACGCTAATATTGCATGGGGAAGTACCCATAAAACTAAATTAAATTCACTCTACATACATCAGAAACATGCATCAAGATTAATTTATAATAAAGATAAATTCACTCATGCCGACCTTTTACTTAAAAATTTGAATGCATTAAACATCTATCAAATAAATATTTACCAAAATATCTTATTCATGCTAAAATACAAACTCGGACTTGTTCCGAAATACTTTGCTGATAGCTTTTTTCATATCAACGCAAACAAATATATCACACGAGGAACAGGCAACTTCACCTTGCCGTTAAAAAAAACAAAATTCTCGCGATTTTCTTTAATATACCGTGGCCCATACTTACATAACAAAATAATACTTCAAAATATGGAACTTAATAAAATGGATAACCTTATTGCTCTGAAAAAAAAACTAAAACATA